TAGTTTGTCTAGCATGGGGGAGGATGTTGATACTAGAGTATCTGATTTCATAATTTATATCGTATTTATGATTGATAGATAGATAGATAGATAGATAGCTTTATTCAAAGAATTGAACTTATACATTGAACAATACACAAGTACAAATTAGGTGAACCGGCGTCAAAAGTAGTGATGTTTGGTTTCCATACAAAGAACATCTAAATATATATATAATGCAGAACAATCAAGATAAGTATTTAAACAAGAAAACAGATATGTTAAAAATGTAAAGTATAGATAAAATATATAAAGATTTGTTGAAATAGAATCAATAAAAACACAAAAACGTACATGTTGAAATTGTCCAGTGAATTAGATAAAATATATAAAATTGGGTGATAATTGAATCACAATAACTTGGAATCAAAAAATTCATTTAAACTATATGGTTCGATCTTGATTAATAATTCTTGTACAAGATGTTTGAATTTTTTAAGACAGGGTTCGATTTTAACACTCGTCGGTAGTCTGTTATAAAACTTGATACAGGAATACGTAGGGGTTTTTTCTGTCAGAGTTAGTCTGTGTGCTGGCGTATTCAAATCCATAGATCTTGTACTATAACTATGCTGTGATTTAAACATATCGAATTTTTCCCTATTTTTGAACAGAAATACTAGACACTCATATATATAGATGCTTGGAACAGTTAATATATTCATTTCTCTGAATTTTCCTCTGCATGACTGCCTTTTATTGTTACCCAAAAAAATTCGTAGGCATCTCTTCTGTACAATAAAAACACTCTGCGCTTCCCAGCATCCTCCCCAGAAAATGATACCAAAGCGCAGTAGAGAATGAAAGTTTGAAAAATACACAGTCCTCAAAGCTTCACTGTCTAAGTATTTGCCTGTAATTCTGAAAGAATAACACACTGAATTTAATTTGTTACAGAGTTCATTTCTATGGATCTCCCAATCCAGATTTTGGTCAATGTGAATTCCCAAGAACTTTGTGTTTTTTACTGGGGTCACATTTTCTGTCTGAAGCTGTATGTCTTGAGGTATTTTGTTCCCAACACTTTTAGTAGTTGTGAAACAGATACAGGTTGTCTTTTCTTTGTTTAGAGTCAATCGGTTATTAATGAGCCAGTCTTGAGCTTTTTTTAGGCTGTCGTTTGCTATACCTAACATTTCTTGGAATGAAGATCCTAACACTAGGATATTTGTGTCGTCGGCATAATTTACAAGATTTGTTTTATCATTTATGATTTCTGATGCTAAGTCATTGACATAGAATATGAATAACAGAGGACCCATCACACTTCCCTGGGGCACACCAACTTCCAGCTGACCATCCTCAGAGAAGTACTTCTTTCCGTTTCTTTCTATAGATACTTTTTGAACACGTTCACACAGGTATGATCTTATCCAGCCAAGTGCAGGGCCTCTGATACCATACCGCTCTAATTTATTCAATAAAATGTCATGATTAATACTATCAAAAGCTTTTGACAAGTCCAAAAATATTCCCATTGATAGATCTTTGTTTTCATATCCCAAAACAATTTTGTCTATAAAATCATAAACGGCAGTTTCTATGGATTTACCCTTCAGATATCCATGCTGCGAGTGACTTATCAATTTTTGAATTTTTGAAAAGGATGGTATTAAACTTATGGGACGATGGTTTTCTAACAGAGTGGGATCCCCTTTTTTATACACCGGTTTAACAATCGCCAATTTTAGACTATCTGGAAAGAGTCCATATTGAAAAGAATTATTTATTATGTGGCACAAAGGGATTGCAAGTTCATCTTCACAACTTTTTATGATACTGCACGGAATTTCATCGTATCCAGCACTCATCGTATTTTTCAGCTTTTTAATTATCTTTATAATTTCATAGATAGTTGTGGGTGTAAGGAACATTGAGTTTTTTGAAAGAGATATGTTGTGATAAATATCCACTTCTGAATTTTCAGGAAAGTTAGATACACTGTTCAGTGTCAATTTATTAAAGTTATTACTTATTGTATTAGGATCACCATTTATTTTTAATTCTGTATGTCTTGAAGGCTTTCCCCTTATTTCTCCCACTATCTGCCAAAGGCATTTTGATTTATTATCACTATTATATATGCGATTTCCATATTTAATTTTTCTTGCGTTTATCAATAACTGGTTGTATCTAAATTTAGTTTTCCTGTATGCTTCATCATACCCTTCTGCTGTTCTGCGCAACACAAGTAGGGTATCAAGTTGCTTTTTACACTGTAGTAGTTCAGGAGTTTGGTAGTTGGATATGTTTTTATGTTTTTTGCCTATACATTTGATTGGAAAACAGTGGTTGAAGATTGGCATAAATACTTGCATAAAATTAGTCCATTGTTCATTCACATCCGAATTTGAGGTGGAAAAAACACCCTCCCAATCTTGATCAGCTAATATTTTTTTGAAGGATTCCTTATTTTGTATAATGAATATTCTCTTTTCATTCTTACCTGATTTGTGTGTGTTTGTCTTATAGTCAAATGTTATTCTTTGGCCAGTGTGATCTGATATGTGAGTGTTTAGTATTTCTGATTTGAAATCTTCACAATTTGTGAAGATGTTGTCTATACAGCTGCTTTTCGAATTTATACCTATACGTGTGTATTCTAAAATTGATGGCCTAATGTTGAAAGATTTCAATAGTGTTAGTAGTTCAGTAGAACATTTCGATTTACATTTGATATCGATGTTGAAATCACCTGCAACAAAAATTAAACAGTTTTCACGCACAACTATGGATAAAATAGATTCAAGTTTTTTGAAAAATATTTGCTCTGAGGCAGTACGGTAAATACATAAAATAATTGCTTTCAGCTTATTCAACTCAATTTGTACTGCTGAACACTCAAATATTGCATCTTCTGATGTGTTAACTATGTCACTTCGTACATTCCAATTTATTCCATTTTTTATAAAGATTGCTGTTCCACCATGGGCATCTTCACTCCTGCAGTAAGCCGATGTTAATTCAAAACCTGTTAGGTTGTAGTTTTTGAGTTGACTTTGTGATTTCCAATGCTCACTTACACATAAGGCAATGCAGTCTGCCTGCTCATCAATTATTTCTTGTAATTCATCCAGGCAGTTGCCAATGGATTGTAGGTTATGATGAATAATACCACACGTGGCCTTGATATTTCCACAGAATAAGTCTCTACCAGGGTCAGTTGCAGTTGATGAAGTTATTAAGCTTGATTCATATGTGTCCTTGCTGTAGTTATTTTCATTCAGACATTTTTTACTGGACTCACCACCTACCTGTGGTGCCGTCCTCTTTTTCACAAAAAACCGCGATACAAGAGCGCCACTTGGCCATATCTCCCGTTTCCAGGCTTTGCTAAAGTTTTCTTGCTTTATGGTTACTTTCATCGAAGTATACAGCTCGGGCAGTTTGGATTGGTGGTTTTCACAGACCACCTCTGGAAAATGTTTCACCAGGATCTTCTTCAAATCATCGGAGTTGGTATTTGGGTTGAGCCGTGTGACATGCAGCGATACCATTTTGGGTACTGTATTGACGCCAGAATTATCTTCATTGCCACCGACCACATATCTTCTTTTACTCTTCAAGTTTTCTCTGTATGAAACTTTCTCCCATTTTTCTTCACCTGCATTTGCTCCTAAGTCCTGTACGTCACGCATTTTATTGGCAGATTCTGCTGTCAGGATTGCTGCATTTACTTCTTTATGCGTGAAAATTTTTGGTGGATTATTTTCCGCATTTCTGTTGTTTGCTACCGCACTATAACTCGGTTTGGTAGGCATCTCATGCAATGATTCATTGTTAGTAATTGGAATCTCTTGAACACTTTTTGTTGGTATTTGACCTTTATCAGACTGAGTGTTTTTACTGATGTTGTCCTTTCTTACTTCGTACCCATTCAGTTTTTCTGTTAGGAAAACGATTTTATCTTTCAGCAGACTGCAATTTTCGCTGAGTATATCGCATTTTGATTCAACTTCGTGCAATAACTTACGTAGCAGTTTATTTTCCACTGCGTATGGATTTATTTCCCGATCTTCTTGTTCAGAAGAACTCTTTTTCACTTCATCCAAATCTGGAGAACTTTTAATTTCATGCCGACAAAATGCATTTTTTATCTGAGCTGCTTGTAGCATGCAACTGGGATGGAATATTTCCATGCATTTGTGGCACTTCACTGAATTTACAACTGTTTTTTTACAGTATTTACACTCGTTTTTAGACTCCGCATTTACCGACGACCCGTTCGCTGCCGCCATTTTGGTTATTTTAATAATACCCTGTACATGTTGATACAAAAAAAGATATATATGTCAAGATAATTTTGATGAAAGTCATTAACAAAACGCTTAAAGACAAGCGTAGAGGTTTATTAGCAAGTTTTTGACTAACAGACGACAAGGAAATAAGACAAGTTATCCAGAGGACATCCATTTTATATCCATTTGAAGTCCAAGACATCCATGGACGCCAAATGGAACTATCTTTTAATGTACATCGTTGTATATCCAGTTGATGATCTAGTGCTGGGGTCACCAAATTGCGGACCTCGGTCCGTATCGTTACCACCGATAAAACATCCGTATCCGGACCGCCGACCTATTTTGTGCGGACCCGGAAAAATCTGAGAATATCCGTATATACATTTGTGATTTCAATTTAGCCCGCGCTTTGTCTTGTCTCGCCGCTCATCGGATAGCCACGATAGCTCATTAGTCATAAATTAAGCAAATGGCCGCCGTACAAGAGTGAGCACGTATAGTGAGCTCCCAAGTTTAGTTGAATTTCTGTGGTATTTTTGACCTAAAATTGTGGAATTTATAAATTCAGTGATGTAACTGAGTGTATCAAATATAGTGAACACCAAAGTTAAGCCCTGAAAGCAATTAGAAGGTCAGTTTTGGACATTAGTGATCTCGATTTGGTACACTGTTGCCACACTTACCATGAGTAAGACGAGAGGAAATAGTCAATCCTTTCAAATGGATGATACATTCTTTGAGAATATAACCAGCAAAATATCCGCTAAAGTCACTGCAAGCATTGGGGAACAACTGGCTACAATGAACCAGAAGTTAGATAATATGGAAGCCAAAATTAATGATGAACTGATTCGAATTGCGACTGTAGAGAAAATGTCAATTTCAAATAGGACAGACATTGTTAAACTTTCTGATGAGATGGATGATATGGAACAATTTCGTAGAGCCAATTCTCTGCGATTTATAGGTGTTAAAGAAGAAGAAAATGAAAATGTGCTAACAACTGTTCTTAGCATTATAAATAATGGTCTGAAAGTCAAGTGTTTACCCTCCGACATCAACAATGTTTTCAGAGTCGGGAAAATCAAAAACGAAACACCAAAACCGACCAGACCAATAGTTATCGATTTTATTAGCTATATGAAACGGAATGAAATATTCCAAATTAAAAAATCGATAAAAGGAAGTGGAATTTACATCAACGAGAATCTCACTAGTGCACGTTATAAGCTACTAGGGCAAGCGAAGGAAAAATACGGCAAACAAGAAGTATGGTCCCAAGGAGGAAGAGTATGTGTGAAACAAAATGGAACTATCAGAATGATAAAGAATGTAGAAGACTTATAACAGTGTGAATCTGGCAATCCTGTAAACGCAAGTAATATTGATCCAACACTATTTCGATCTTTCGTTTTTTGTTGCTACTAGCTATATTCTGTTCAATTTTTTGTACCCATGAATGTTAAGGCTGGTCCGCACTACGTACATATGAGTAATGAATTATTTATTTCTAATTAATTTTTTTTTTGTTCCCGAATTTTGAATGCCTGATGATGTCAACCCATGGGTTTATCATCATTTTTATTATAATATAATATACTTTAAGTTGATCCAAATAAATTAAACTTGTAGAATTTGATAATTATTTTCAGTTTTCTATATCTACAAGAACCACGTTATATATATGTGTGTAACTGATAGGGAGCTTATAAGTGACACGTGTATGGTCCACTTATCTCTTTATTTCCAGAATTGCAGAGGACACAATACGAAACTAAACGATTTTTTCAGAAACAGTTTGTATCACAAATATGACGTTATATTGGCAGTTGAGACATGGTTGCAAGAGGGAGTAGGTGATGGAGAGGTTGTGGATTGTAATTTTTATAACCTGGTAAGAGCCGATAGAAATTTGATTGTCACACAAAAAAGTAAAGGAGGCGGTGTGTTGATGGCTGTGAGTAAGAAATATAAAATAATGAAAATAATAAGGAATTGTAGTGCGTTTGAAGGAATAATTTTACATGTAAAAATTCATAACATCATAATATTTACTTTTTGCTGTATCTACATTCCTCCACAGAGTTCTATTGATATATGTATATGAATCTTGTATATTATCTTTTCTGCAATCACATATTCTTAACCTCAATCAAGCATTTATCTTTGGTGACTTCAATTTACCTGAAATCGAAGGAATCAACACACTCTTCAATAGCGCTAATCAAAAAATTAATATTATAGATGAATTCATGATTTTTAACTCATATAGCCTCTACAATGATATAAAAAATTTCCAAAATAAAACATTAGATTTAGTGATAGGACCCAAAGAATATTTTTCCATAAAAGTGAAAAAGGAAGAAATTCCACTTGTCAAGGAAGACATATTTCATCCAACTCTAGAAATAATAATCATTAATAATATAAGGATTAATAATAAAGAGAATAAAAAACTGACAGATTTTCAATATAATTTCAAAAAGGCTAATTTCTTAGAGATAAGTTTAAGCTTGCAAAACACTGATTGGTCAAAAGTTATTGACAACTCAAATGTAAATACAGCCTTAGCTGAATTCTATAAAATTTTAAATGGAATCCTAGATACTTGGGTGCCAAAGTACAAAAAGTATGTGGGTAGCAAAAAATGTCCTGCTTGGTTTGGGGAAGAAATAAAAGATTTAATCAGTGAAAAAGAACGACTGAGAAAATTGCGATTCATTTCCACTTTTTTCAATGACAGATTCATGGAAGCACGAAAAAAGTTGAAGTCTTTAATTAGAGTAGCAGAGAATGTGTATATGAATAAACTAGAGGACAATATAAAGTTGGATGTTAATAGTTTTTGGAATTTCGTAAACAGTAAGAGAGCAAATTGTATCAATAGCGATTCATTTGTATACAGGGTGTTTTATTGGAAAAGGTAAATAATTCAACTGTGGGTAGGGGTCACTGAGGTGATTTCGAAAAACCCATGGTTGATGGGTCTTCGACTTCTTATAACCGAGATACAAGATGTTTCATTTTGTCCATATCTTCATTGTCTCATAACTTTCCAACCAAGCTGTATATATTTTTAAAAATTGGTACACTTGCTCAATCTACCCTGTGGAATTGATTGAGGCAACAACAAAAGATAAAATCCAGGTCCGGCTTCACTTAAAATTCACAATTTTTTTCTGCCAGAAAACAACACCCTATACATTCGAATTTCTAATTTTTTTATCATATCTGAAAAAAAACATCAATATTTCTATTCGACGATGTGCTTTTTATTCGTGCACAGACGATTTTAACTATTCATTTTATGTGCTCAAAATATTATTTTTGCTAATTTTGGGGTACAAAATTGGAATCAGACGAGATTTATTAATTTTATTACTTCCTATTCAGTATACGTGAGTATTACATTTAGAAGAAGTATTTCATATCGTTCTTTCTTCCAGACTTAGTTGCAGGTCCGTCATCAAAACTATACAGGGCTTTTCACGATAAGCGTTAATTAGATGTTTCTGGCAAACCAGGCAACGGATAAATCTAAAAATTCGAAAGTATGTATAAATTAACATGATCTACACGTCTGAAATATTTGAAACAATCTGGCGTTGTCGCTTCTACTCGAAAGTAGCAGTAACTTTGATTTTTCAAATGGGACAACCTGGATGCTTTATGAAGAGCTGATTTAATCGATTCTAGGTCTGGGTCTAGTGGGACTAATAACTGAGATATTCAGAGTGAGAAAAATCGAGATGTTTCAATTTCAGAATTATTTTGCGAAAATATTTATTATTGATCAAAACGGCTTTTATGTCCCAATCTTAACTTTGTATCTATTGACATTTAATCGAAACAAATACAGGATGGTTCATAATTCAGATTTCTGCACCACCCTGTATCTGTTTCAATTGAATATCGAATGGAAAGTTGAGATAGGGACATTGAAGCCGTTTTGACCATGCAATAATAAATAGTTTCAACACAAAACATTTCTAAAGTTGAAACATCTCGATTTTCCACATCCTATATCTCAGTTATCGGTCCTGCTAGACCTTGTATGTTTTGAATCAATGAATTCTGCTGTTCAGCAAGAATCCAAGAATGTAATGAAATACAGGGTGTCCTATTTGAAAAATCGAAGTTGCTGCTACTTTCTAGTAGAAGCGGCAAGGCCAGATCGTTTCAAATATTTCAGTAGTGTAGAGTATGTTAATTTATACATACCATCGAAATTTCAGATTTATCCGTTGCCTGGTTTGCCAAAAACGTCAAATTAACGCTCATCGTGAAAAGCCCTGTATAGTTTTGATGACGGACCTGCAACTAAGTCTGGAACAAAGAACGATATGAAATACTCCTTCTAAATGTAATATTCACGTATACTGAACAGAAAGTAATAAAATTGATAAATCTCTGATTCCAATTTTGTACCCCAAAATGAACAAAAATAATATTTTGAGCACATAATATGAATAGTTAAAATCGTCTGTGCACGAATAAAAAGCACATCGTTGAATAGAAATTTTGATGTTCTTTTCAGATATGGCAAAAAAAATGAGAAATTCGAATGTATAGGGTGTTGTTTTCTGGCGTAAAGAATTTGTGAATTTCAAGTGAAGCCGGACCTGGATTTTATTTTTTGTTGTTGCCTCAATGAATTCCACAGGGTAGATTGAGCTAGTGTACCAATTTTTAAAAATATATACAGGTTGGTTGGAATGTTATGAGACAATGAAGATATAGACAAAATTGATGAAACATCCTGTATCTCGGTTATAAGAAGTCGAAGACCCATCAATCATGGGTTTTTTGAAATCACCTCAGTGACCCCTAACCACAGTTGAATTATTTACCTTTCCCAATGAAACACCCTGTGTAAAGGGGAAAATGTACCTGATAAGGATATAGCCGATCAATTTGCACATTTTTTTGCGTCAATTTATGAAACTGATAAGTCTACATATAGTCTAAATTTTATTGATGATGTTAGTGTTAGTAATGATACCTTGGTTATAAATGAAATTGGTGAATTAGATTTAGATCAAGCGATGAAAAAACTCAAGCCTAAAAAAGCGGCTGGTGTTGATGGAATTCCACTGTATATCCTTAAAGGATGTTATGAATGGATAAAGCAACCTCTTCTTCACATATTCAATCTGATCATCCGTAATTCAGTCTTTCCACTCGTATGGAAAAATGCAATCATCACGCCAATATACAAATCAGGTAATAAAATGGAAATTGAAAACTACAGGGCAATATCTATTATGTGCGCTCCCGCAAAATTATTTGAGCAAATTATCTACAACAGACTTTTTAAACAAGTTGAAATGAACATTGTAAACGAACAACACGGGTTCATGAACAAAAAATCGATAAATACGAATTTACTTTCATTCACTAACACTGCTAATAATACCATGGATGACAAAATGCAGTTAGATACCATATTTACAGACTTTAGTAAAGCCTTTGACAAAGTGAATCATGACATTCTATTGAGAAAAATTCATAACTTTGGATTATCGGCAAGACTTTTAGAACTTTTGAAAAGTTATCTAGAAAACAGAAATGTTGTTGTTAGGTATAATGGTAATACTTCTGGAAAATTTCATGCTAACTCAGGAGTACCGCAAGGATCAAACCTGGGCCCTTTGCTTTTTATTATTTTCATTAATGACTTACCCTCGACGATTAAGTATTCACGATGCTTTTTATTTGCTGATGATTTGAAAATATTTAAGAGAATTCAAACTGTTAGAGATTGTGTTATGCTCCAAAAGGATGTAAATTCATTGTACGAATGGAGCAATGAATTTAAATTACCATTTAATGTAAAAAAATGTTCAGTAATGTCAATATCAAATGCTAAAGAACAAATAATTTTCGATTATAAAATGGATGATGATCATCTGCGGAGATGCACAGAAATTAAAGATCTCGGTATAACGTACAATAATAAACTATCATACACTAATCATATTGAGAATACTGCGAAGTCTGCAAGTCGAACACTTGGTTTTATAATCAGACAAGGCTCTGACTTCAGACATATAAAAACATTAATCACCTTATTTCACACTCTTGTGAGACCTAAACTAGAATTTGGTTCACTACTCTGGAATGGAGAATCGCAAACTACTCTGAAATCATTAGAAAAAGTCCAAAACAGGTTTCTGCGACATTTATACCTCAAAAAATATAGAAGATGGCCCGATTACAATATTGTTAGATCATCTCAACTTAGGATAGAATTTGGTGTTGTTTCCTTGGATAATAGAATAAAATTGAATATGATTTTATTTTTGTATAAAATGATAAATTATAAAATTAATTCTCCTGATCTCTTA